TAGGGTGGACTCGATAACGCGCTGTTCGTACCACTCGCGTAAATCAAGATGTGCGAAAGAGTTCATAGTTTCTCGTATTCACACTTTTATTCGCGTGTTTATCACCCGACACAAATTCGCCGTTGAATATAGTGTTCACTTTAACACAATTGTGTTTTTTTAGAGCGTCCTGCACATGTTCCAACACAATGTCTTTAGCGTCATCGAGAAATTGGCGCGGTTCGATGTGATTATAGTTTATCACCGCACAGTCGATACGCGACTCTCGAACGCCGTATCAATTTCGCGCCACACAAGTTCATTTTGACGCCACTACATCCGGCACCCGCGTGTATGAAACGTCCACGTACCGAATTTTTCAAACCTTCGACGCGCGCGATCTGAGCAATCAGTGATTGTCGATATCCGATCGATAATTGCGGCCGTTTGATTCGACTTTGCTCTTCCAGCGACTCGATGTACTCGTCACATCGTTGCTCCCACACAATGTAGTTTTCCAACGAATCAAGCAAAGCGGATTGTTCTCGCAAAATTTGTTCCTCCATATTGCTAACGTACACTTGCAAAATTTAGCGTTTTTAATGACAGGTCTGATGCACTTTAGCTACTGGTGAGGTGCGTCTCTCTATAATGATTTATATATCGTCTCATGCATTGTTTTATCGAACATTCTAGAACGATTTTATCTTACAAAAATTCCCCATTGTACCGTGTGCAATTTGACCTTGATAATTTCACGTTTTGTCACGTACATTTGAAAAATCTAACGTGATTGCATCAGGGGCAGCCGTACATCGGCGCTCGATTTTAGCGCTTTCAGCTAAATCTTTATCTGGGATGATGCACGTTTTAACCTTGGTGGTTATTTTTTCGCTATTTGTCACATACATTTAAATAATTTTAACATGATTGCATCAGGCGCAGCCGTACATCGGCGCTCGATTTTAGCAAATTCAGCTAAATCTTTGTCTAGGGATGATACACATTTTAACCTTGGCGGTTATTTTTTCACTATTTGTCATGTACATTTGAAATTTTAACGCGATTGCATCAGGCACAGCCGTACATCGGCGCTCGATTTTTGCAAATTCAGCTAAATCTTAATTTCGATGCAGATCTTAACCTTGAAAATTCCCGTTTTGTCACGTACATTTGAAAATTTTGACGTGATTGTATCAGGAGCAGCCGTACACCGGCGCTCGATTTTAGCAATTTCAGCTAAATCTTTGTTCCGAAGATGATGATGTCATCGCAGCCGTACATCGGCGCGACAAAATTTTGGAGGAAATTAAAATGTTGCGTCAGCAATAATCCCCTCTACATCGCAATTTGGGATACTATTTGAATTGATATTGATTCTAATACGATTGCAGTATTGCATCAATCGCGCGTGTGAAAGGTTCACCGCTGAAGAAATATGAATTTCTACGTTCCGATTCGAAACGGTGAAACTCAGCTGTGTAAGAAGCAGAAATGCGACACGTAAGTTTAAATCGTTTAAAAAATTTTTTACTTATTGATTTTTAATATTGTTGTATAATTATTTATATTTTATAGTATCCAGCCTCGTCGTGCGGCTCGCATACTTGGAAGAAAGTACGCTCTAACCCCGACGTCGTACAAGTATTTGGACATTGGAATAAGCATTGGAGCTGTATCGTACGTGGAGCTGATTCTCGGCGATAATCGAGGCAATCAAATAGTGTTACCCTTTTCAACGTGGAATTTGTTGATGCGGAAGCAAGCAGACGTTGAACAATTTCTACAATCGACTGCTCGCCCATTAAGATTGGAGATTTAACGATTGAAATGAATCAATCGAAAATTGTAAAACTTGCATTATGCGAAAATTCTTTGTACATGAAATCAGAAACATTATTACATTTATTTAATTTTGAAAATTGTATCGATCATATGCACAATTGGTTATGCGAGAATACGTATCTCGTAAATGAAAATTTAAACAATTTGAAACTGTATTACAACGTAATAATATTACTACTGTATGCGATGCTGTAAAAACGATACGTGAGAGTGATGTCTTTGACAGCGAATCATTGATCGATTGCGAATTATTAACATGTGCTGTAAATGATATTCTTTACGATGCGTGCAATAAATAATTATTTTTATTCCATCTATGAATTTATTTCTTTCCTTCCATACGAATAAGAATAGTCGACAATTTTTCTCAACACGCTCCGCCAAAGATGTAGAGAAATGCTGAGGTAGATGAGACGCGATGCTCTAATTGGAATGAGACGCGAGATATTAAAAAGATATATAATGAAGAGGAGTCTGCGACATTAGAATATTATTTCGTTGTTCTTTGCGTTTCGTTAGTCTTGTGTGTTACGTTAGTGCAATGGCCGAAGAAGACGTAATCATCATCGACGATGAAGATATGGATGTTATTATCGTCGATCAGAACATTGAAGAAATTATTATCATTGATGATGAAGATAATCAAATGGATATTGATGATGATGATAACCATATGAACATTGGCAATCTAGCAGATGAGGATGGGTCTGATATTGAAATAGAACCCTTGACAGACAGTGCTTACGATAGTGACAATAGTGATGATGGTGATGAACTAGTACAACAGAAACAGCGACATTTAGACTTACCCGAAATATTAACATTGAGCGAGGCAACAAAGATATGTTGCATTTCCTATTTTTACATGGAAAATGGATCGAGATATTGCGCCGATTGCTTTCTGAGTCTATCGGAAATGTTTCTGGAAGCTACATCTGTTCGGCTACATAGAATCACAGCTTATTGCAACATAAATAATATGTCATGGAAAGAGTGCAGGAAATCTCTACTTCTAATACTGCCATGTGACATGTGCCCCATTTGCACATATTAAATAAATGAATAACATTGTAAGTATCTTTCAATTTATATTATATCATAAAGTATTCTACAATAAATTATTAAAATCTAATAAAATATGTATCTTATCTGTTACAGAAGCGATCTCCCCTTAGCCTGGCGCAACGCCTCCTCAGCCTGGCGCATCACCCCTTAAACTTCCTGGAGCGACCCCTTAGCCTTCCAGGAGCGGCCCCCTCACCTGGCTCCCCTGGCCCCCCACCACCCCCGCACCCTTAATTATATTTTATATTTTATTATTATATTATATTATTATTATTATTATTATTTTATTTTATTTTATTATATTAATCATAATTTAAGCGCGCGCACACACACACACACACACACAATTGTAAATACACATTTTTAATAAATTTATACTTTGTATTTTGATTAAAAAAACAATCTAATTATTTATGCGCCTCTCCATGCGTTCCCATCCTTGCGTCTCTCTTGCGTCTCTTTCGCGCTAGTTTTAAGTGTTGTTATTTTTATCATACTCGTTAGTTGTAAATCTCGCGATATTATCGTTCTCTCTTGCGCGCGTCATCTTCGCGCTATCGTTCTCTCTCGCACGCGCTAGTTGTAAGTCTTCGCGCTATCGTTCTCTCTTTCGCGCGCGCACTAATTGTAAGTCTCGCGATATTATCGTTCTCTCTCTTGTACACGTCGTCTTAGCGCTATCGTTCTCTCTTTCATATGCGTTCTCTCTCACTCGCGTTGTTCTCTCTCGCACGCGTTGTTATTCTCGATATTATCGTTCTCTCTCTCTCGCTTAGAATATACTCGTTGTTCACTTACCTTTGCGTCGTCCTTCTCCCACCTATACGTCGTCCTTGTCCCACGTTAACGCCATCCTTGTTGCACTCGTAGCACTGTCCTCTTCACACACTTTGCACTGTCCTTTTCCCATACGTAGCACTGTCCTTCTCACACACCGTTTTCTTTCCGCTGATCCCCCTTCACCGAGCGGACCCCCTCGCCCATCGGTCGCGCCGCGGATCCCCCTTCACTGCGCGGACCCCCTCGCCCATCGCTCGCGCCGCGGATCCCCCTTCACCGCGCGGACCCCCTTGTCCATCGCTCGCGCCGCGAATCCCCCTTCACCTCGCGGACCCCCTCGTCCATCGGTCGCGCCGCGGTTCCCCTTCCCCGCGGGTGACGTTACCCGCCGCGCGCCGCGGTTCCTCCTTCCCCGCGCGTGACGTCACTCCCCCCGCACCGCGGTTCCCCTCGCGCCTCACCCCCCCTGAGAGGTCCTGGGTTAGAACTCTCCTATAACATCTACTCACGTACAATCGCGAGGACAGCGGTCGCGAGGACCCGTTCCGCCGAAATATGTTCTGCGGCGTCGATTTGATACGCTTGAGGTGCGAGTTGTCATGAGCGAGGAGCGCGTCGATCCGCCGATCGATCGCTACGTCCGAATATTGAAGGAGAGGATCGCGTGGAGCGTTGCGACTTATTCGACGAGGCGGGCGATCGATCTTCGAGACGCGCGCGAGGAACTGTGGATCGAGACGGTCCTGGTGTGTAGCGGAAGAGCGGCGAGATTCGACGCCGGAAATACGTGGGTGACCGGAACGCGTCGCGGGTTTTCGCTGCCGGTGGATTCGCGAGGCGAGACGCTGTGGATAAGGCCCCGCGGGGAGGAGAGAGAGAGGACGACGAATCGCCGTAGGGAGAGAAGAGGACGCGACCATGCAGGAGGAAGAACGCCGAACGCTCGAGAGCGCGCACGACGGATGACTATCGCGCGTGGACGCGACGGTGCGAGGAGTGTCTCGCGACTCTGCGCGAGAGGTGCCTAGACGCGAGTCGCAGAATCTCCACGGGGGCGAGGACCTCTCTGGTCGCCCGAATCCTGCGAGTGATCGGCACAAGGAACGATCTACGGCGACGCTTCGAGCGCGAGGGTGCGGGTGTCGCGAGACGCGAGGACGACGGCGACGGCGGTAGCGGTCGAGTCGCGCGAGGGATTCTCGTGGTCCGAGGTCGAGACGGCTTTCAAGAGACGTGTGTTGACCGGCGCGGTGATAAATCTCGATTACATCGAACCTCTGAGATTTTTCGAGGACGCGAGGGACACCATGCTCCGCCGCGTGCGCGACGTCATGGGCCGATATCGCAGCGTTAAGGCGAACACGACGTTCAACGGAGAATTCGTGTCGGGCGATAAAACCGCCGTTAAGACGATCGCCACGAGAAACCATCCCCTTCTACCCATGACGGATCTGCGCGAGTGGTACGATACTCGCGTCGTTGGCGATACCGTCGCGTCTTTGGAGGTGTTTCAAGAGCGCGACAGCGGATGGGCTCTGTCGCGCATACTCGATCTAACGGTGAACGTGAACGTGTACAATCCCATGCGGGCGGGATGCCACGTGCGAGTACCGCGAGAGATTCAGATGAAGAGAGCGGTGGTCAACGTGCGATCCGACGACGAGGCGTATTTCGCGTGGTCGGTGGTAGTCGCTCTGTACCCCGTCGATAAGAATTGCGAGAGAAGCTCGCGATATCCGCATTACTCCGAGGTGTTGAATCTGAAGAGCTCGAAGTTACTTATGACTTTGAACGGAATCGGACGGTTCGAGCGTCTGAACGATATATCGGTGAACGTATACATCGTCGGAGACAGACAACGCGAGAAGGACGGTGGTAGCGGAATTCGCATCGTCCCTCTTCGTCTGACGGATCGAAAGAGGGAGAGACACGTCAATCTGCTGTATCTGAGCGATGCGACGCGCGAGGATAACGCGGTCGGGCATTTCGCCTATATCCGAAATCTGTCTCGTCTGATCGGCTCGCAGTTGAGCAAGCGACAGCACAGCACGCACGTGTGCGATCGGTGAGCGTTCGATCTCGGCGAGCGAGAGCGAAATATTGAGCTAACGTTTATTCCGTATTTTCTCAGATGCATGCATTACTTTCGCACGAGCGAGAAGCTGTCGGCGCACAGCGAGGATTGCGGCAAGCTGAACGATTGCGCGATCGTTCTTCCCGGTGAGGACGACAGGTGGTTGGAGTTCGATCATTCGAGAAAAGAGCGAATTCCGTTCGCGGTGTACGCCGATCTGGAGTGCGCGTTGAAGAGGAAGGAGAAGGACAAGGGCGGGAGAACTAAAAATACGAGGATCGTTCAGCATCACAGAGTTCACAGCGTGGCCTATTACACGCGTTGCTCCTTCGACGACGCCGCGTCGGCATACGGATCTTATCGCGGCGAGAATTGCGTCGCGTGGTTCGTGCGCGAGTTACGCGATCTGGCGCTTCGCGCGAAGGTCGCCCTCGACGCCGTGGTACCAATGGCGGATCTGACGCCGGATGAGCGGGAGATATTCACGAGCGCGTCGCGCTGTTACGCGTGCGAGAGACCGTTCGAGGCCGATGACGCTCGCGTGCGCGATCACTGTCACTTGACCGGCCGCTTCAGAGGTTCGGCGCATTCCGCGTGTAATTTGAATTACAAGGACCCCTACGTCATACTCGTATTCTTTCACAATCTATCGGGTTACGACGCGCACTTCATTATCAAGGACGCGTTAGCGTATCCTGGCAGCATCGAGTTGTTGCCGGTGACAAAGGAATCATACATAGCTTTCTCGAAGACCGTTCGAGATACCGCGGCGGCGGAGGGAGACGGGGGAAACGCCGCGCGTTCCAGATACGTCAAATTACGATTCGTTCAAGTTTTTAGGCGCCGGTCTCGATAAGCTGGCGTCATATCTCGACGAGCAAACTGACGATCGCGCGAGGCGAGTTTCGCGATCTCTCGGACGACGACTTCCGGCTTCTCACGCGCAAGGGCGTGTTTCCGTACGAATACGTCGACAGCGTCGAGAGATTGCGGGCGACGCGTCTCCCGCCGCGCGAGTCCTTCTATAGTTCTCTGACCGGCGATATCGTATCGGAGAGCGATTACGCGCACGCGACGCGCGTCTGGAAGCGATTTAGCGTCGAAACCCTGGGCGAGTACAGCGATCTCTATCTGAAGACCAACGTTCTTCTGCTCGCGGACGTGTTCGAAAATTTTCGCGCCGCTTGTTTGGAGAGCTACGGTTTAGATCCCGCGTACTACTTCACGCTACCGGGATACACGTGGGACGCGATGCTTAAGTACACGGGGGTCCGTTTCGAGCTGCTCACCGATATCGATATGATGATGTTCGTGGAACGCGGAATACGCGGCGGTCTGAGTCAGTGCTCTAACAGATACGCTCGCGCAAACAACAAGTACATGAGCGCGTACGATCCGTCGCGACCGTCGATCTATCTGATGTATCTCGATATCAATAATCTGTACGGTTGGGCGATGTGTCAGCCGTTGCCGTACGAGCGATTCGAGTGGGTCGACGATCTCGAGAGTCTCGACGTGATGTCCGTGACGGAGAACTCGACCGTCGGCTACATTCTCGAGGTCGATCTCGACTATCCGGCCGACGCGCACGATGCCCACGCCGATCTACCGTTTTGTCCCACGCACGATAAGCCGCCGGAGAAGCGGCAGAGCAAACTCCTAGCCACGCTGTGGCGATAAGCGCCGATACGTCACGCACTATCGCAATCTGCAGCAGTGCGTTCGTCACGGTCTGCGTCTGACTAGGATTCATCGCGCGCTGCGCTTCTCGCAGTCGTGGTTACGCGGATACGTTGAACTTAACACGCGTTTATGCACTAACGCGAGTAACGATTTCGAGAAGAATCTGTACAAGTTGATGAACAACGCCGTCTTCGGCAAGACTATGGAGAACGTGCACAATTGCGTGGACGTTCGACTCGCGACTCGATGGGACGGGCAATTCGGAGCCGAGACGCTCATCTCCAAGCCGAATTTTCACAGTAGAAGCGTATTCTCGGAGAATCTTATGGCCGTGGAATTGCGCAAATTGGAGGCGAAGATCGACAAACCGATCTACGTAGGCATGTCCATTCTCGATATATCCAAGATTCGTCTGTACGCGTTTCACTACGAATACATGTCGCCGCTCTACGGCGATAAGTGTAAAATATTGTACACCGATACGGACAGTCTCATTTATAGCATAGAGTGCGAGGACGCGTACGAGCGAATGAAGCACGACATCGATAGATTCGACACGAGCGATTACGCCATCGACAATCCCTACGGCGTGCCGCGCGCGAATAAGAAGATTTTCGGTCTGATGAAGGACGAGAACAACGGCGCTCTCATGCTCGAGTTCGTCGGACTCAGAGCGAAGATGTACGCGTTGCGAGTCGAGGGTAGGGGCGACACTAAGAAGAGCAAGGGCGTGAGGAGCAGCGTCGTCACGAGAACGCTGACGTTCGACGATTACGAGCGCTGTCTGAGACGCGAGATCGAAATGACCCGCGAGCAGTCGTGCCTGAGATCCAAGTTACACGAGGTGTACACCGTGCGCGAGTCGAAGGTCGCGCTCAGTCCGTACGACGATAAGCGCTACGTCGTGCCGGATTCGACCGACACTCTGCCGTGGGGGCACTACAGGATACCTCTGTGAGGAGAGGCGCGGATAGATCCTAAGCGCGATGCGACGTATTTTTATAGATATGCGTGATGTATTTTATAGATATGCGTGATGTATTTTATAGATATGCGTAATGTATTTTATTATCTTTAATGTTATACAATATACAGGGTGTCTGCTAAACATGCGGCAAAAATTCAAGGGGTGATTTATTGGGTTATTTTAAGACTTTTTTGTTATCTGATGATTTTCGAAAAAATGCTTTGTTTCGATAATAAAAGCAATAAAAGTTTTTTGATTCAATTTTTTATTCCATAGATAACAGGCGATACAGGTTTTTTTCAAGTATTAACGTAGTCTAAATAAACGTAGCAAGCTAGTACAGATGTTGAAAACAATAACAAAATTTGTTTATTTGCCATTGATAGTTAAACTTTTGTTAGTGTTCATGAATCGCTATACGAACGCTGAGATGACTGACATGCATTTCATGTATGGTCTTGCCGACGGAAATTCGTTACAGGCTAGGCGATTGTATATTGAACGATTTCCCAACCGTAATGTTCCTGATAGAAAAACCTTCGAAAGAATTCATCAACGTCAATTTGGTCAAAAAACTTTTATTGCTTTTATTTTCGAAACAAAGCATTTTTTCGAAAATCATTAGATAACAAAAAAGTCTTAAAATAATTCAATAAATCACTCCCTGAATTTTTGCCGCATGTTTAGCAGACACCCTGTATATATGTTCGTTGCGACGCGTTACAATACGCGCGATGTATTTTCTTATCTTTAATATTACAAATATATATATTCGTTGCGACGCGTTACAATACGCGTGATGTATCTTTTCGTCTGTAATATTACGCGAAAATATACGCATATTCGTCACAATATGTCGGCTTTGTCGATCTACGAATTATGCGACCTGTCCATTCCCAGCCACTTCACGAGAACCGCATCGCCCTTTCGGCGCAGCACTCTCTCCACGAGATACACGTCGGGATCGGAGACTCGCTGCAACTCATGCTCGTAGAATCCGCCGGCTATCGGCTTGCCGCGCGAATCCTTCAGCAGATACGTCGCGGGATTCGTTCTTCGCACCTCGGCTACGCGGAAGATCTCCGCGGTCCAATTCGGCGTGTATCTCTTCTCGAACAGCGTCTTGTACTTGCTCACGCGCACGGGATCGTTCGGTCGAAATTTTCCCGGAGCGGCGATCTTCGGGTGGCTGTACACCGTCGACAGGAGTCTCGACGCTTGAGCGGGCGTCACGTCGATCGGACGCATCCCGATGGTTCTATGCTTTCGAGCGTTGTACTCGGATATTAGACGCGGCAGCGCATCGAGCCACTTGTACGTTCCGTTCAGCGTGAAGTACTTCCACATCGAGTTCTTGAGCGTGCGATTGAAACGCTCGACGATGGGATGCTTTCAGCACCGAATACGTCGAGTAGTGATTGATTCCGTGTCTATCTACAAATCTTCGCACCTCGGCGTTGTAGAACTCCTTTCCTTTGTCGGTCTGCAGATTCCTCGGGCGACGTCCGGAGGCGCGCGTCACGCTCGACAGGGCTCGAGCGACCTCGTCGCCGCTCTTTCTCTTGAGCGGTACCGCCCACGCGTACTTGCTCAGAGCGTCGATGACGGTGAGTATGTAATTGTGGCCTCTGTTCCGTCCGGCATAAGGACGCATCTCGACGACGTCCGCTTGCCACAGATCGTCGTATCCGCGCACCGTGACGCGGCGGCGGGGAAGTTCTTTCTCGCTGGCGCGTGCAGCTCGTTCACAAGTCTCCGTTTCGCGGCGCTCATCTCGCCGTCTCTATTTTTTTCTACCCTCTCTTCGACTGTTGCTTATCAGGAGTTTTAGCGCCCAGTTGTATGACTACCTTATTCGAATCGATCGTCTTAGGAATCGCAGCCGCCGCCGCCTTCGCCGCCGCCTTCGTCGCCGTCGTCGTCGTCGCGGCCATTCTCCTCGCAAGTTCGTTCGCGTCTTTCCTCAGACGCACTACCTCGGCGTCCAGTTCTCGCAATTTCGCGTTGGAAGTCAGCGCCTTCGTCGTCAACTCCTGCAGCGTTCTGTCGTGACCGCTCAATGCGACTCGATTTCTCTCGTTGTTCGCTGCTATGTTGTTCACGTGCGACAGAGATCTCTCCAAGGCGCGCACTCGCTTTTCTCGTCGATCTCCTCGAGTCGCGCGACAGAGGTCCCCAGTTCGCGCAACAGTTTGCTCAACGCGTCCCCGTTCGCCCGATTCGTCTCGACGGAGCTCTCCAGGTCGCCCAGTCGCTTGTCGGCGACCGCGCGCGAGGCCGATCTCTCCGCCTCGACGGTCTCGATCCTCGTCGCGGCGAGCTCCTGCAGATTCTCCAGCGTTTGCAGCCAAGATCAATTCGTACAGACCGGGAGTATCGGCGTATCTGATTCCGTCCACGAATATCGCGTCGTCGGTACTTATGTCGAATCGCTTGTTTCCGAGCATAGTGCCGGCGTCGGCGAAGTAGACTCCGTAAACGTGATCGAAATCGCTCGGCGCGTCGCCGCTGAGAAGAGCGCCCACGTACTTTCGCGCCAACGGACCCAATTGATCGCGCAAGATGTCTCGCCCTCGAGGAGTCCGCAGAGACCGTCTCATAGACGTTTCGAGCGTCGCCGGCGATCCGAAGAAGACGTCGTCGCTCGTCTCGAACGTCTCCTCGACGGGCGGTTGCGCGAAGAGGTCTCTGCTCGCGAATTCGCGCTGCTGCGCGGGAGACGCGTCCGACGCTCCCACGGGCGTGGAAGTTGTCGCGTTCAGACGGCGAGATCGCTTAGCTTTGAATCCTTTCGCGGACAGCGGCGGTAACGCGCTCTCCTCGGTCTCTTCCTCATCGTCCTCCTCCTCTTCCTCCGGCGCCTCTATTCTCTTGACGCCTCGCGCGAACGTCTCGTTGATCTCGCTCTTCACCGGTTCCTTCTCTCTCGCGCTCGCGCCTCGCGCGGAATCGTCTTCGACGCGCTCGGCGATGCGTCGCAACGGTTCGACGATCGGTTTGAAACGCGTCTCCAGAGCGCTATCGCTCTCCATCCTTCCGGTCTTCAACGCTCTGTGCTTCCTGCGAATCGACGCGCGCGTTCTCGCTATCTCTATCGCGGTTTTCTCGCGTCTGTCGACGTTCGTCATCGCACGTCGTTCCTCGACGTTTCCCCTTCTCTTATCTCTCTCCCCTCTACGATCGCCGCCGTCTCGGGAAGACTGACTCATCCTCGGCGACGACGCTCGCGACGCTCTACGGCACGGCGTAATCATTGAACCCTCGTCTGTATCTGCCGTTGCGCAGCGTGCTATCTTTGTCGATCACTAGAAAACCGTATCGGTATTTCCAACATGCGCGACACAGCGCGTGAAAATCCTCGTACGACATATCGGTATTCACGTGATCGCTGTGTTTCAGATTAGTGCCATCCTGCTTAAAGAGTATCAATAGATTCACGTTGTCGCGTATCAGATGTTTGGATATGTAGCGTACGATTGGCACAGATAAGGTCGAACAATCGATCTTCGCGTGACGCCCCATGGCGAAGTATTCTTTCACGACGTCCTGTTTGTTGCAGGCCACGTCGTCGAACACGAATATCGAGTTCGGCGACGCCTCGCTAGGTGGGATGACGTCGGCGTTGTTCGAATACGTGAAGTAACCGATATCCCGCATAGGTTTCAACAATTTCTCCAGATATCGATATTTAGGTTGATGCAACAATTTCGAGTAAACGTACACGTTCTCGAATCACACGCCGTGTGGACTCTCCAAAAGGCTTATCAGCACGTTCGTTTTACCGCAATTAGAGGGACCACAGATTATGCAGCGAATCGCGGTCGGTAACAGATTACCGTGTTTTCGCGGTTCCTCGTTCATCGAGCGCGTCTTACCGTCGACGTTGGACACACTTATCGCGATCGGTTGACGCACGAAACGCATCGTTTTCTCTCTCTCTCTCCTCTCGCAATTCTTCCTCGTTGTCGCGAGCGAATCTGCGTCTCAGTGCGCAGACTCGCGCGCGCGCAACGAGCGCGGATTCGCTCTC